CATTATCAGCTTAAAGAATAACACTTTTTTGTAGGGAAAGCGGATCAACAATGTTTACATGCTTGCTTTAAATAATATTGAATGTTCTACTTCATTTTACTTAAAAATTGCTATTGATGAGTCATGGTTGTGGCACCAGAGATTATGTCATGTCAGTATGAAAACTCTTAGGAAAGTGACCCAAAAAGACCTAGTTAGAGGTGTCCCCAAGCTTAAGTTTTCAAAAGACCACCTTTGTGATGCCTGCCAATTAGGAAAGAAAGTCCACTCCACTTTTCACCCCATTAAAGCCATTAGCACCTCAAGACCTTTAGAAGTCCTTCACATGGATTTTTTTGGACCCATTAGCACTGCAAGCTTGGGAGGGAAAGTCTTTGGTTTTGTGATTATCGATGACTACTCGAGGTTCACTTAGAGTAGATTTCTATCACACAAAAATGAGTCTTTTGATGAGTTTAGAGCCTTATTCACTTGGATTCAAAAAAGGCTAGGTTGTGAGATCTTGACCATCCATAGTGACCATGGGGGAGAGTTTGAAAATGAGAGATTTGGAGATTTTTGTGAGGAAAAGGGGATTAGCCATAACTTCTCATCTCCTAGGACCCCTTAGTAGAACGGGGTGGCTAAAAGAAAGAACTGGACCTTAGTGGAAGCTGCTAGATCCATGCTTGATGAGTATTCACTTCCAAAATACTTTTGGGCTGAAGCAGTTAACACAGCTTGTTATGTGTTGAATAGGGTGAATGTTAGAGCAAAATTAGATAAGACACCCTATGAGATTCTTATGGGTAGGTTACCAAATCTTTCCAACCTTCATGTCTTTGGTTGTAATGTTTTCATTCAGAATAATGGGAAGTCTCACTTAGTAAAATTTGACCCAAAATTTGATGAAGGAGTGTTCTCAGGATATTTAGTGTTGGGAAGTCTTTTAGGGTGTTTAATAAGAGGACTTTGGTGGTGGAGGAAACTGCTCATGTAGTATTTGATGAGTATAATCCTAGAAAGCCTAGAGTTGAGGATGATGATAATGTTTGAGAGATTACCACTAGAGTAGAAAATTTAGAGAAGAGGGTAGAGCACTAGAACACTGAAGGAGTAGGAGATGTTATCCAAGGAGTAGAAGATATAGATCTGTGGGAAAGGGTTGAACCTTCGCGCACTTTGCCTAGAGATTAGAGATACTCTTCAAGTCATCCTAAAGATCTTATCTTAGGAGACCCTTTTGATGGAGTTAAGACTATACATAGACTTAGGAAGGAAGTGACAACTCTGCCTTTATCTCAATGAATGAACCCACCAATACAAACCAAGCCCTTTCAGATGAGTTTTTGATCCTAGCCATGTAGGAGGAATTGAACCAATTTGTTAAGAATGATGTTTGGGAGCTTGTAGAAAGACCTAAAGGACAAAGTGTAGTTGGAACTAAGCGGGTATTTAAGAATTAGGTGAATGATTCTTGGAGTGGTGGTTAGGAATAAGACAAGATTGGTGGCTAAGGGGTACAACCAAATAGAAGGGATACCTTTTGAGGAGACCTTTGCCCCTATAGCTAGATTGGATGCCATTAGAGTGCTATTATCCTTTGCCTGTTATAAGGGATTTAAGCTTTTCAAATAGATGTTAAGAGTGCCTTTTTAAATGGGGTAATAAAAGAGGATGTGTTTGTAGAACAACCCCCAAGTTTTTAGAGTTCCTAATTTCTAAATCATGTTTTTAAGTTAAAAAATGCCTTATATGGATTAAAGCAGGCACCCAGAGCTTGGTATAAGAGGCTTAGCGCATTTTTACTAGAGAGAGTTTGTTAAGAGGTGCGTAGACATCACCCTTTTTTTGAGGAAAGTAGGAAATGATTTACTCAATGTTTAGATTTATGTTGATGATATACTTTTTGGATCTTCTGATAAGAGATTATGTGATGAGTTTTTTAAAATAATGAGTAGAGAGTTTTAAGTCGAGTTTGATGGGAGAGTTGTCCTATTTTTTGGGGTTTAGCATAAGACAGTTAGATGATAGAAACATTCTAAATCAGTCAAAATATATAAAGGACATTTTGAAGAAGTATGAGATGGATAAAACTAAGCCAATTAATACTCCCATTACCTTTAGTGTTCAGTTGGATAATGACCTAAGTGGGAAGTCTGTTGATCGAAAGAAGTATTGAGGGATGATTGGATCTTTACTTTACCAGACTACTAGCCGACCCGATATAATTTTCATTGTTTGTCTTTGTGCTAGACTTCAAGTTGACCCTATGGAATCCCACCTAACTGTAGTTAAGAGAATTCTTAGATACCTTTTAGGGACTCAAAACTTAGGAATCTGGTACCCTAGGCACATAACTTCTTTTGAGATTATTAGATATTCCTATTCTGATTTTGCAAGATGTAAGGTGGATAGAAAAAGCACTTCTAGAACTTGTCAATTCAGAGGTTAGTCATTAGTCTCCTGGTCTAGTAGAAAGCAAAACTCTGTTGCACTTTTCACTGCTGAAGCTGAGTACATTACTTTAGGAAGTTGTGTGGCCCAAGTCCTTTGGTTAAAGCAGCAAGTACTAAATTTAGGAAAACCTATAGACACCATCTCAGTTCTTTGTGACAACACTAATTCCATCTGCATTTCTAAGAATCCTATCCAACATTCAAGGACTAAGCACATTGAAATAAGGTATCACTTTATTAGAGACCATGTGACTAAGGGAGACATTGAGTTACACCATGTGGCGACTGAGAATCGACTGGCTGACATATTTACTAAACCACTAGCCTTCTACACTTTCATCACTTTAAGGACCAGATTAGGTGTGAATAACATTAATACATGAACTTTATTTCTACTGATTTTTTATCTGTTGATTACATTGCTTTATTTAGTTTTTTGTTGTTTATTTTTTTTGAGTAGTTATTTTCCTTGCTTTTGGTACTTTAGCTTTTGTATGCCCTAATTTGTTTTTCTAATCATCGCTGAATTAATATCTTATGTCTTGTTCTTATCTTTTTGAAAATTTGTAGTTAATGTTTTACATATCTTAATCTGCTAAAGTATAAAAAAACAATTGATTGTGTCTCTTTCTCTAATCTATTTTGTTGGTGAAATTTTCTTTTCTAAATAAGAGTCTATTTCAAATTAATAATTGGATTTTGCAATTGTGGTATTTTCTATCTTGCTACAGTAATCTAGCTTATATTTATAATAATCAAAGTTTTTGTCGATCTAACTTGCAAAAAATAATAAAAAAAAGGCCAATGATGCCAAAAGCAAAAAAAACCGCAATAACGCCAAGTTGACACACACACACACACACACACACACACACAAAGTGTATCAAAAATTAAAAGATGTGCAAAGTACGTCATTCAATAGATAAGAGCTATAAAATGAGCCCATCAAAAAGCAAGCTATCTTTCTTTCTTCCAACTCTTAAAACTTAGAAGATTTCATGTATCACTTGAGATTTTTAAAGGCATGATTTCAAATTTTGCAATTGTAACAAACTACTTTGATCCATTATTATATAAGATATTTTTATGAAACCAAGTCTTGATCGGATCTCCTTTTCTTACCCAATTGATTTTTCTAAGTTAGGTCTTTTGATTTCAAAAGACGATTTTACCCTAAAAGATGTCCGAGCTTAGGGTTAACATGATCGGATATTTTACTGCTTTTTAGATTTTTGATGTTTTTAACTCATTAACTTACAAATTTTTAAAATTAATCACATGGAGAGTAAATCAAGTTCATGCCTTGATAAAAAAAACTTTATTTCTTTGCTATTTTTTATGCCCTTTTTGTGTTTTATCGTTATTACTTTTAGTTGATTTTATTGTTTTTGCACCTTCTCTGATCATCTCCATCCTTCCTCTGATTTTAATTTTTTTTTGTCACATTGTACTATACGATATTTATATCATCCTGGACGATCTGCTCATCTTTAACAAAAAATTCCATCTACTGAATATTTTGACTTTTCTGCTCTTCATCGTCCTGGACCATCCATTATTATCCTGAACGATATGATCATCCTCTACTACAATCATCTTGATCATCCAGCCCGATGCGTTTATTGGTAATCGTCCCGTCTGATACACCTGTTCGTCCTGGATAATACACGTGTCATCACATTTAAAATCTCTAAATTCGCCCGGGATGATCCATTTTGGACATTCATCCTGGCGATACACAGTTCATCCTGGACAATACACATGTAATATAATTTAAAATGATTTAAATTCAGCCGATAAGATCCATTATTGAGCATCATCCTGGAAGATCCACATAATTAGCCTGGACGATATGCTTTTTCAACGGTCGTCCGGCCTGGCACCTCGGGATGATCGCCTGTATCTAATCGTCCCGAATGATAGGTAGGTGATGAACCACTAATAACGGATTGGACTCAAGAGCAAAAGAGTTGACAAAAGCTCTGTCAAGTCTTTCTAAGATTCTAGCTCCACCTATTTTGTTATTGCACCAAGTATAACTTGGTCCAATAAAATTAGATTCATGATAATCAAGGTTTGTAAAAAAGAATTTCATCTCCTTAGGACCTTGAGAAAAATCAAATTTCCTACCTCCCTTTTTATCACTTTTAGAACACCCACTATGGAAGGACCATTCACAAGAAAATAATTCTCCAAATGATTCCATAATTCCCTTCTCTTGTAGGTGTTCTTATTAGCATATACAGTAGAAATCCGCTAACTACCTTTATTAATGATTTCTAAATCACCAATGATACATTGATTAAACGATAACAAGGTATTAAAAGTTGCAAACCTTGTATTCCAAAGAATCAAGATACCTCCCGACAAGCCTTCAGAAGGATAATGGAAGAATTCCCAATCCATGCCAATAAGAGTATTGATATCCTTTTCTATTCAAAGAAGAAACTTTGGTTTCTAGCAAGCCAACAAACAACACATTATTCTTTTCAACTAACTCCTTGAGATATAGAGAAGCATGAGCCTTTCTTGCTCCTCTATAATTCCAAAACACTATGGAATTCATTTTTTTGGAAGGGGGCTAGCCCCAATCCTTTTGACTTTTTCTCCCATTTCCATTTTCCTGCTTCTAGTCATGAGTTTAATTGGTCCAAGAGTTTTGAGCTCTTTTTCCAACTTTTTCTTCACAATATAATTCTCTCTATCAGTTTTGATCACTTCCATGTTTCTATTCTTCAATTCTGAATCAGACTCAACTTCTTTGTTTGAATTATTGCTCGGAACATTTACAGTAATTTCCACTTCTTCATCAATCTTGTTAAGAATATCAAACCTATTATTATTAACAATAACAGGTTTAGGGACATAGGTTTCCTTACCAGATGAAATCTTTGTATCTATCCTAGAGAAACTATCCCGTATTTCCCCTTCTTCCAGTTCTGTATTGCTAAGGAATGCAATATTATTAACTTCAGCAGCTTTAAAAGCTTCAGAATTTATAGGATCAGTAGCAACACAAACTTTATTTTGTATAGTACAGCATGTCTTTTGGTTTTCAACAGATTCTTTGTCTTGTTTTCCAATAATAGACCGTTCCGAGTTCAAATTCTGGTGATTAATTTTATTAGGACCAACTGTAGCAACAGTCTTCCAAATTTCCTTTACAGGTTTTTGAGAAACCTTATTGATAATATGTGGAAAATTATTAGTTCTTTTCCCCTTTCCATACCTGACGTGCACCCAAGGTCCATACCTTTCTTCTTCAGGAATTTGTATATCTGCAGTTGTAGGATTGTCTACATTAGAAGGACCAGCGTCCACTTTGTTAGCACTTTCATCTTGTACCACTTCCTGAGGAACCTTTTTGGAAATTTCTTTGATATTATCATTCACAGACAAAGGACGTCTCCCAATTAAGTGACCAATCTTGCCGCACTTGAAACAAAGTTTAGAAACTTTTTCATACTCAATTTTTTTATAGAATTTGCTAGATTCACCTTCCACCCAAACTCCTAGAAGAAGTTGTTCATCCAGCTTGATGCGAACACAAATCCTAGCAAATTCTCTTCTGTTCCATTGGAACATATTCCCATTTAGTAAAAAGGGTTTCCCAACAAGAGATGCAATTCTGCATATGTTGAAATCATCCCAACAATATAATGGTAGGTTAGGAAGCCTTATCCACAATGGAGCTGAGAGTCCCTTCAAAGAGTTTGTTGAAAAATTAGTCGACCATTTATCAATGCCTACTATATGACCTCTTACAAACCAAGGTCCTTCACATAAAATAGCTTCCATAGTTTCAGCCTTTTCACATGAGCATAGGACCCAATCCGTCCTAACAAGGTTAATCTGAAATTCCCAAAGCTGCTCCATTGCCTTTGTAATTCATTGTTGATCACATAAAAAGGAAGATTATCTCCAAAAACCTTGAAAACAAGAGTATTCTCCAATTTTTTTGAATTTTCCAAGAAGCTTCACCGTTTTTCCATCATCAGACAAAAAAGAGCCCAAATTCAAATTGTCCACTTTAATGTTTGCACTTCTCACCCAGGCATTCATCTTCACATTGCTCATCTTTATCGAATTCTCGGGAGGAAAGGTCTTATTGACTGTTTGAACATCAGAATTCAAATATCCTGAAATACAGGTTCTAACTTGCTCCAGATCATTTTGATTCTTCAACGAAGTAATATTCCAAGGTTGCGACCCAACACCATACATCTTCTGTGCATCTTTTCTAAACCCCTCATTCATAACATCAGTGACCAAAGCATTTCCACAATTTAAAATCGGCTCTCCAGGACTCGGAGGATTAGAATTGCCGAATCTACTCACATGTAATTTAAGATCAAAAGAAGATGTTGCATTCGAGCTTTCAAAAACTTGCTTCAGAGACATCAGAACTTTTGGACTTTTGATATCTTCCTTAGTAAGAACATTTTTGCCTTTGCCAGTAACAGGAGTAATCCTTTTAGGAATCAAAAGAGCTCCTTCATTTATGATTAGAGGTTTATTTTTTGAATTCAGGTTCTGATTTTCATCAGCAAAAAAATCGGAAGCAAAAAATTTCTCATATGAATTTGAAATTGAAGGAACGTTCCTCCCAGCCATATCTGTAGAACCTCGATCATCAACCATCTTTCATTGTCTGGTAATCGGAGGACGACCATCGTCGACAAAGAACGACGAGCATAGTTCGGAACGAGTGAATTTGAAAATCACTTTCTCTCTCTCTAGCAAATGGCACTTTCTTTCTCTAGCAAATTAAAATGGCCCCCCCAACCAGTTTTTATTTGGGCATCACATATTACTGACATTTTAGCTATAGGTGTTAAGTGATTTTTTCCAGCGATCCAAACCACCTGATAAATGCCTAAAATTTGTTCTGGTAAATGGCAATTTTCCTGTATTGTTCCCATAAGTGATCGGGACCATTTTCCACCATCCATTACAATGAAGGAGACTGCAAGAGGGAAGGATTGAAATAATTATGTAAAAAATGTTGAATGAAATCCAATTATTTAAATAGAATATATAAAGATTATATAGTACGATCATTTGATCATACTGGACGATTAAGTGCAATCAATTAGTCCAGACTTTCAATCAAAAAAGTTGGTATTATCATGCAGTTCAATCAAAAATCATACTAGAAAATGAGAGAGACAGAGCTTTCATCTTGAGGAGTTACCATGTTTTATCATTGGCTTTTGAGTTTTATAGTATGAATAAGTGTATTATACTATATTATATCATATTAAAGTTTGAACAATCTAAATTTAATTCTTCCAATAGTTCTTACAACATGGATTGTATAGTATAAATAGTAAATCATACAATACGATCAATATTAAATTATTTGTATTAGCTATTGGATGTAATGTAATCAGATATTTTATATTTCATTCTAATCGTAATGTAAATAGAAATCAAAATGTAATGCAATCAAAGATATTAGCTGTTGGATGTAATGTAATCTCATTTTGTGCCTCTCTTATCATTGTTTGAACCACTTTATGCATCTTTTAATTTTTTATAGACTTTATACATCTTTCGATTTTTTTCATTCATTGCACATCTTTTCAGCTTTTAGGCTAATTTTATGCCTCTTTTTTGCTTTGCCAAACTTGTTTCCTTTCTAAGTTTTTAAAAACTCTTAGTTGTGAGATTATCTTTAAAATATGAGTGAAGAAGAACTCACTCTCTTATATAAGAAAGAGTAAACCACAAACTAAAACTTGATCCATCTGATATAGACAAATAGCATTATTAATAAAATTTAAAATTGATTCATTGATTTGTAAAAATATTTAAATGAGATTGAGAACTATAGGAAGATGAAACATATCTTTATTTCTTGGTCCAATTTTTAATTTTGAAATAGATTTTGATTAAACAGAAATTACACTTCTAAAAGAGTTAGAGGAAGAGAGATAATCACCAATTCCTCCCCTTAACTACTTTAGAGGAGTCAAACATTACTTATAAAAATAGGTAAGTTTTTTATTTAAATAAGAGTTCAACTACTAAATAAAGTAGTGATCAGATTCTTAAAATTTTCAAAAGAAATAAACAACACATGCCTAAGATAAAAAAAAAAATTATAAAATATTGAAAACCAAAATAGACAAAACAAAACATAAAACATAAAACAAACAAAATAGGAAAACAACAATCAAATTTTAGAATTTCAAAGCATTAAGTTTCAAACATGTATATCTATGACACCTACTCTAGTTCTTAAGTACTGAAAGTTTGAAAAGATAGTGTTTTTGTAAAGATATTGGCAAGCTAATTTTTAGTTGCTACATGTTGTAGCTCTATGTATTTATTGGTGGCATGGTTCCTAATGAAATTGGGTCTTATGCCTATGTGTTTGGTTCTGAAGTGTTTGATTGGATTCTTTAAAATACAGATGGCACTAGTGTTATGCCATAAGATTTTAATGGTGCCTACAGGTAGTATGTTATCATGCATTTATTGATTTAATTAAAGGACCTATGCCATATAACTTTTTAAGGCTATCATTTTAGCTTCTGCAATAGTCATGGATACTAAATTCTATTTTTTATTAGACTAGCAGACTAAAGATTATCCTATGAATTGACAGGTTCCAGAAGTATTTTTCCTATAAATCCTACATCTAATAAGTCTGAATCAGAATATTCTATGATATCAAAGGAAGTGTTGTGCCTAGGATACCAGATTCTAGAGTTTTAGGTTCCTAATAGATATCTAAATATTACCTTATTAACAGTCAGGGGGGCACTTTTAGATAAGCCTGAAATCTAGTAAAAAGAAAAATACTGAACATAATATTAGGTCGTCTAATAGTCAAGTAAAGAAGTGATATAATTACTCCTTTTTTTTATTTGAGTCCTTATGTAACTTTATAGTAAAACACATGGGAGTGTATATTGTCTTGGCCTTATCCATTTCATACTTCTAAAGGAATTCCTTAATGTATTTTGATTGACTAAGAAAAATTAAACCATCCTTCTTCCTTATACTAAATCCAAGAAAGTAGGTTAGTTCTCCCATTATACTCATCTCAAACCCCTTGCACATTATTTTAAAAAATTTATCACATAGCTTTTTATCTAAAGATCCAAACAAAATATCATCCACATAGATCTTGATAATGGCTAGTTCTTCTCCTTTTTTTTTAATAAAAAGGGTGGTATCTACGCTCTCCTTAATAAAGGTTTTATCTAGTAGGAATGTGCTTAGTCTTTCATATCATGCTCTATGTTCTTGTTTACGTCCATATAATACCTTTTTTAATTTGAACACATGACTGGTAAATTATGAATTTTAAAAACATGGGGTTTGTTTAGCATACACATCGTCTTTTCTTACCCCATTTATAAAGGTACTTTTGACATCTTTTAGCATAATTTGAATCCTTTAATGCAAGTAAAAGCTAGCACCCTCTTATGGCTTTTAGTCTAACTACATGGGCAACAGTGAAAGTTCGTTAGGGATGTTAAGCCCATATAAACCATCCCAAGGCTAACCAAGAGGGGGGTGAATTGGTATTTTAAAAAAACTTTCAATCAAAAACACAAACTCAAACCAAACCAAAATTCAACACAAAGAAATTTAATGTGCGGAAATTAAATGCGAAAAAAGCAGTAATAAAGAATATTGAAATTTATAATGGTTCGGTCAACTCGACCTGCGTCCACTCCCCGGAGGCACCCTCCGAGTATTGCACTAAACTCAGTGACTCTCTTTTTGATTCCACAGTAAGACAGAGAAGCTTTTATAAAATCTCCTTTCCACTGACACTGGTGAGGCAGAGAACCCGACTCCTTTTGCTTCCTCCTGAAGGAGGCAGAGAACCTTGATCAATTGCTGAAGTGGACTGCTGTCAAACCTCCAAGAATAAGGGACTACGATCAGAGAAGATGACTTGGATCCTTTCTTGTAGCAACCATTATGAAACCCCTCACAAACTACCCCTCACAAGATCCTCTCTCTCTCTCTCTCTTTCTCTCCCTCTCCTCTAGGATCTCTCAGGTCAAGATAACAGCAAAATATAATCTCTTAGGTACAACAAGAGGTCTTAAATAGAAGAGTTTCGAAATAGCTCTGAATTATAACTAACCAACATTTTCATCCTGGATGATCTGGAGATCATCATGTATGATAATTATAAATTTAGCTCAATCAGCCAGATGATTTGGGATGATAAGAAGGAAATTGGTTCATATCATCTAGTATAATAGTATATAATCATGTACGATTAGTTCAATTAGTAAAATATCATCCAACACATCACCCTAGTTGGATGTCTAGATAATGAAAAAATTGTTTTATCACCCAGGAGGATCTCACGATTATTTAGGATGATTAGTATAAAATGATAAATATCAACCAAACCATCGCACTGATTGGATGTCTGGATGATGGAAAAATGACTTAATCATTCTGGCTAATTATATATCATCCTGAATGATTAGTTCAAATTAGTACATATCATCTAGAGAATCTCCCTGAATGAACCAGGCTGATTAAACATCATCCAGGAAGAATTAAGGTTTTGTTTAATGGATCATCCTGGATGATCATGTGATCATCTAGGATGATATGATCGTTCAATCAACCTTAATTACTTTTCTTAATTAGCAGATTAATTTAGGCATAATTGTACTACATCATCCAGGATTATGTCTAAAATTAAAAAGCTACCTAAAAAGATTCAACATCTGATTCTTTCTGATTTGAGCCTATCATCTTGGTCGATATGAATATCATCCAAGATGTCGCGCTTAATGATGGCTGCCTTAACCTGGATGCCATAATTAGGATTTCTATTTTTAACTAATCATCCAGGCTGATTTACGGATCATCCTGAACGATGTGACCAA